TGACGGAAATCTGAAGATATTTTGAAGAATGTGGGGAACCAAACAGTCGCTGGTCTTGACTTTGATAGTAGGAAAAAATGCTATGGAAGTCATTGGTGACCAGCAACTGTTTGGTTCCCCACGTTCTTCAAAATAACTTTTGTGTTCAACAGAAGAAAGAAACTATTTCAGGTTTAAAACAACTTGAGAGTGAGCATTTTTGGCTGAACTATCACTTTAATGATAATAAAACAACAAAAAATAAAATCACTCACTGCTCTTGACTGAAGAACTTGAATACAGTTGCTTTAATAAGAATCAATGTAGGATAATTTATACAGTGAAGTGTATATAGTGTTCTATTTTTATATTTGTTCATTCAATTTCTTGAATGCTACTGCTAAATACACCTACTGAACCTGAAAAATAAAGCACTGTTTGTTTTATTTGTATGTGTATTTGTAATGTGCATATTTGTTCTTATTTTTTAATAACAATGATAAAATAATGACAAAGATTTTTATCTTCGCCCAATTTGACCTAAATATCTGCCATTCTTTTCTGTTACCTGATAGAGCTTTGTTTTTTAAATAGGGAAATTAGTTTGGCTGTACTGCTCAGACAACTTGCAAAATAGTAAAACCAACATGACAAAGAATTGTGATAAAATCGTGAATCATGATTTTCATGAAAAAAAAAAAATCATGATATGACATTTTTGCCATATCGCCCACCCCTATTCTTACCCCAAAAAATATAAATAATAATAACTGTAACGTATGCCTCTCGTGGCTTTATCATCACTATATTAAACTAAAGCTGATAAACAAGCAAATGATGGAGTAGGCTAATAGTCGCTGTCTACCGCGATCACAAGCAGCACAGTGTTCGTTCTGCATTGAAAATGAATGCATGTGTGCAGTATGCGAGTAACATTTTGAATAATCAGAATCTGAGCAGTGATTCTGCTAGCATTTAAAAGTGCTGTTTCAAGCACTATTACTGTAACCTTGAGCTAATGTTGTTGCCTGCCGGGAGAGCTGAGCCTGATAACACACAGCACATTCAAATGGCACGGTGTTATTTTTGCATCCCCTTAAATACCAGACTATGATGCAGAGCGGTTTGTATTCATGGGTGGTTATTGCAGTTTTGAATCGGTGTTGACCTTCTGACTGTAACTCTGCTTTATTATTTGAATCTCTGGCCAGGTGAATTCACAGAACTGTCAGTATAATCTAATTTCCCCCATCGCTGTGGGTCTTCCAGCTGTTTAAGCCATGCATTTCAAAAGCAGAATCCATCTGTGTACATGTGTGTGTGTGTGCTTTACATATTTAATTAGATTCACAAGTCATTTAGGTTGTGTGGGTGAATCTCGTGAAACCTATCAAGAGCATGTCCAGGTATCAATCAATCAATAAGCAAGTAATCAAAGGGAAATTTTAATAATTTATATATAAATTATTATTATAATATATGTAATATATTGTTATAAATTATAAAGATTTGCATTATGATGTCATTTTTATGACAATTAGGCACATAGGTCTGCCAATGAGCATTACTGTAATGAAAATAATCTATTATTATTTTAAACAAATATTATTTGATATCAATATCAAAATGTGCTTAATTGTCACAAACTAATACGATGAAAAAATGATTTTTTGGGGGCAAAAAATTTGACCTGAAAGTCATTTGTGAAGGTTCTTATTAAAAAATAAAAAATAATTAAAAACTTAAGCCACATTTTGATGTCATTTTTCAGACAATTTTATGTGCAAATTCTTATTTATAATGCAAATAATTCAATATAATTAGATATTAATATTTAAAACTATTGGAAAGTACTTAAAAGTATTTAAATGTCATATAATAATTATGTCACAACGCAAAAAACAAACAAAAAAATAAAATAAATAAATGATAATTTTGTTTGTTGGTAAAATAGAACTTTTTTATGGAAAAAAAAAATTTGACCTGAAATGATAAAGGATCTTATTCAATAAACTTAAGCCATATTCAATAAATAATTATTCAATAAACTTGAGCCACCACTTGAGCCTTTACAGAGATTTAAATTAAAAAGTGATTTAAATTAAAAAGTATTTACCACTATCAAGAAATACCAACCAACCAACCAAATAAATAAATAAAATATAGTTCAGGAATAAGCATTTGGGGCAAAATGTGACAAAATATGTGCAAAATAATTCTCACACACACACACAAATAAATAAATGTAAAAAGACTTAATTTAGTTTGTTTGTGAAATATAACTAAGTTTCTTTCTGATTTTGGGCAAAAAAATTGACCTGAAATGATGAAGGATCTAACTGAAATCACTTGAGCCCGTTTGTAATGTTTCAGAAGGATCAGCACACAGACACACAGCAAAGACTCGAACACACTTTACTCTTTATTACTTCTTCTGCTATTGTTAGTTCTAGCATAATAGCATCTATTATTTACAAGATAAACATACAATACAAAATAACTAACGCAAGGGTTTTTCACAAATGATTCTGAGAAACTCCCAGAAACCGGTTTCCGCAGTGAGAATAAGAATCTTTACCACCGAAGAAGACTTTGTTTGTGAAACTATGTTTTCCTTTCAAGTGGCAAAATCAAGGTACAACCACAAAACAAGTCCTGACAGACAGCTGTATTCTTCCTGCAGCCGAGATACAACACGTACATCACAGGCCGCTTTTGTGTTCAACTGCAGCTCTACAAAAAAGCAACAATAGACATTTGTTTGCACTACAAATCGTGAGTTTGAGAAAATGTATTAGTATAATCCATGTCTCCGAGTGTGTGTGTGTGTGTCTAAACGGGGGAGGAAAAAAAGAAAAGAGGAGGGTCTTTCGGTTTCTTTCAATTCATTTCCACTAATGGCTTCCAAGCATCTTCACACAATCAGGCAGCTGCTCGGTCGATGCATCAGCGAGGATGAGAAGAGATGCGCATTCCCAGTAGAGATGCAAAGAGCAGCAGACACTCAGCAATACAGCGGCTGCCATGCATTAGCTCAAAGACACCAAAGCAGAACTGTGCTTTAAAGCACTTACCATCAATAACGACTAACTAAAAGTAGCGCTGACGCCAACTTAAATACATATTTCAGTAGTGTGACAGTAGCTCAGCTGGTTTCTTTTTCAGCTTTTCCGACATTCATTCTATTGAATCAGTTTGCTCAGACAGAACCGATTAAAAGAAAAACGATTCAAATAGATTATTTTAGATCTTCAGTGCTGAAACAGGTCTTATGCAGCAGTATACAGTGCCGAGACATCATGCAGCTGGTATTGAGAGCTCAAATGCGGCGAGATTTAAGCTCATTTCACGGATCTCTCGTGGCTTACAGCACAATGTCACACTGTTAGGAAGACGCTCGGATCTCTGGCGTCGTCCGTTCAGCCGGTGTCAGCCAAAAGAGCGGAGCATTTGCAGAAAAAAAGGCAAAGACAAACGGAGAGGGAGGGAAACGCATAGGACGAATTTCACAAACTGGTCCCAAGTAAGAAAATCCAAAGGAAAAAAGCTGAATTTGGACATTTTCATGACAATTCAGCACAAATTCTCATTACTGTAATACTTTGTAATTCCTATTATTCTCAAGAGCAATTCTCCTTACTCTAACTCAGACTTTTTTATAATAATAAAACATCCACTTTTATCTTTATGGCCAATGACAACAGTCTCGGTCACTGGACTGAATCTGAATCGCGTTTTTGGTTTGCGAGACTTGTGAGACCTCAAGGTCTGATCGCCTTATGCCATTTCTTACGGTCAACGAATCTCAAACATAAGAAGTTCAAGAGATCAAACTAACAATTCAATATCTCATAGCATTTAAAGAGTGATTATGGATGCATGTAACACTTCTTCAAAAGCCAAACAGATCAAGGTGATCTGGCTCAATATGGTAACTTGTTTCAACAATGCATTGATTTAAACAACCAAATAGGTGTAAAAAAAAAAATGCATAAAGCTTTATAAAACTTAAAACGGTTCAGGTTACATAAAAATGCCACTTTTTCTGATGCATGAATCATCAAATCACGAAACACTAAAATATATTTCAGTTACAAACACGTTTATAATTCTTCCCCAAAATGATGTATTTTAAAACTTCAGTGCATTAGAAATTAATTCCACTATCGAGACTTCACCACCTTCATCGGCTGTGTTGAATTCTTTAAATAATGCACAAAAAAACAATCTTAATAGGACAGTCATATATTGTAGAGGAGTCATCATAAATCATCCATGACTGCTGGAACATCAAACCCTGAACAACATCTGTAACATCAAACCTCTCCTGCCCAGCTGTTTCCTTTTGACTCCAATGATTTGGCAAATGCTAAATATCCATAGCGAAGATCAGCGCTCTAGCACTAAAAAAAAAACATCTTTCTGATTGAAAGCAAAGCTGAATACTGTGCAAAAATGACACAATTTCGTGTTTCTCTCCTCTATTACTAACTGCTGTTGACATCAAAGATGAGAAAAACATCTTAACGATCTTTACAGTACATTTTTACCTAATTATTTTGTTTTATTATAGGCTCACTTTAATTGATAGACGCAACATTTGTACTTAAATATCCATAAGTCGTATAACAAATTGATAGCTACAATTAAACAGTGAACAGTTAAGACACACACTTTCCCTTATAAAATATATAGATTTGGTTTTGAATAAGAACAACCTCATTAATATGTCAACTACCGATTGACCAGGTGATGCTAGTGTACACAAAGGGACTGTCATGACAGAAAACTACTTTACGCACGATTTTAAGATTGAAAAGCCGCGTTTTAATTGAAATGCTTTGACAAGTTTCATATGCATTCTATACCTGATGACTGTAACCACAGATTAAGATCAATAACTCATCTCTCGGTGAGTTTGTGACCGTTTTCTATCGGATTCAGTGCGCAAACAACAAACAGCAAGTAGACACAAACCAGCGCGCGCGGTCTCCGTCAGATTAGTGAAATAATTCGCTCACCTTCTGCTTTCACTTTGAGATAAATCATCCAGCGACCTCGTAAAAGGAAACGGATAATTTCCGAGTGGTTTCTTAGAGTCCGGCAGCGGTATGAGGAGAGCAGCGCTGCCTGTGCGACTTGTGAGTGCGTGTGAATCTGAAGCGAAGAAGTATGGAAGGCGTTATACGCCATAAGTCTTTAAACGGAATGCGTGTATGGAAGGCGGTTAGCGCCAGCTTCACGTTCACGGTCGCGCTTGAAGAAAGCGGTGTGACCGCAACATTCCAGCGCTTCGTTTGTGTCATTCTCACTTCGGCTACATGTAGAACAAATCCGAAACCGCTACCATAACAGAATCTCTCCGTTTGATAGGTTGATATTACTGTTTTATCCGAGTAAGCAGAATTGAATTGCTAGCTTTTTTTTTTTTTTTTAGGTTTGGCTCTTTGATTTTTTTTTATTGTTAGATTTCAGAAACAGAAGAAAAACAACAATGGCAAAAAAAAATTAATCATTATGAATCTTGATTCGTGTATTCCTTAGAATTTAACAAACTTTTTTTTTTACAGACAAAAAAATCCACACTTACAGATATAGTAGATATCAGTGAAACACTTTTTGCATGTCAATCGTGTTTTTTTTTACAGCTTGATAAACGTGGTCACGGTTAACGATAAAAAAAAAAACCTAGTAATAATAGCTTACATTGAGTAGCCTAAATAATGACAGAATTTTCATTTTTGTTGAATTATTCCTTAAATTGAAATGAATTTGTTGCACTACTAATGCATTTAAACCTGGGTCAAAACAGCCCAATTGCTGGGTTTGTCCCTATTTTACCCAGCACTGGGTTGTATTTAACCCAGCATTTTTTAGAGTGTAACTTCTTCTTTTTTATTATTTACATTTAGGCATTATTGTTTGCTTGCCTAAACCACAGATTTCAGTTAGCAAAAAAATTAAAAATGAATAAATTGCCACATGCTTAAGTTCACATGGAGAAAAGAAAAGAAAAAATCCTGAAGTGTATCAGTCAGATACATGACAACAGCACTGGATGTGATGAAATGCTTGTGACGAGGCTCAGACATACAGTGACAATAACAGGCCCATACAAAAAAACAACAACATACAGATATAGACGTACGCGGAGGGCACTGAGATATTGAGTGACTTCAGTGACCATAGGCAGAACAATAACACAGACAGAGCATTAAATACAAATAAGTGGCAGTAACAGATACAATAAGGGTAGACAGTGTTAAGAGTTTTAAGTAGTCCTGAGGTACTGACCCAATTGCTGGGTTTGTCCCTATTTTACCCAGCACTGGGTTGTATTTAACCCAGCATTTTTTAGAGTGTAACTTCTTCTTTTTTATTATTTACATTTAGGCATTATTGTTTGCTTGCCTAAACCACAGATTTCAGTTAGCAAAAAAATTAAAAATGAATAAATTGCCACATGCTTAAGTTCACATGGAGAAAAGAAAAGAAAAAATCCTGAAGTGTATCAGTCAGATACATGACAACAGCACTGGATGTGACATATCAAGAGTCAAGAGGCATTTATTTATCATTTGCATAGTTAACACTGGGGAAAACTGGGCATTGAAATGCTTGTGACGAGGCTCAGACATACAGTGACAATAACAGGACCATACAAAAAAACATACAGATATAGACGTACGTGGAGGGCACTGAGATATTGAGTGACTTCAGTGACCATAGGCAGAACAATAACACAGACAGAGCATTAAATACAAATAAGTGGCAGTAACAGATACAATAAGGCTAGACAGTGTTACGAGTTTTAAGTAGTCCTGAGGTACTGATATAAGAATATTGGGGGTACAGCAGTGTCCAAAATATCATGAAGTCATGCAGTGAGAACACCTGACTTAAACCAACCTGACCAGCTGACAAGTGCCCCTCTAAAACCAGTTTAGCCAAGCTGGGAGACCAGCTAAGCATTGTACTGCTTTAAAGCTGATTTTCAATAAACAGTTGGATTCGTGAATAAATTAACATATTAATAAAAAGCACCAATGCATGGAGAGAAAAGATCATTTGTGACCACAAGTAGGCTACACCTACATATATTTAGACTGCTTTTTACCAGCACAAAATGATGTGGTCGATATATATTTATGAGAAGGTGAAAATTATTATAAGTTAACTGTTAAAATATCGATATGGTGTGTTTATCCACAGGCCCTGTGATTTCACACGTCGCTCCTGTTAACAATAAGAGACCAATTTACTGACAAAGTCACTCCTGAATTAAAGATGTGAAATCCTTATTTAGCTCTCAGAATTTAAAGCAGGTTTCCGTGGCTGTTCACAGTCCTGCGAGTTCATTGATTTTACCCTCATATTCTTTTCACTGAGGTTTGTGTGTTGCTTTTGGAGTGGCGTCGGGGACCAGCTCTCCTGTTTCATCAGATGCTTTTGTCACAGCAGCGAGATGCTGTGATTTTAATTGTATTGGGGAACCTAGATTGGGAAAAGCAGAGGGGGGAAGTGAAAGCTCAAAGCAAATTCATTACCGCAGAGGCCGTACATACCGAGATTTTCTGCATGCAGTGAAAATGTCAGCCTCACCTCGGTCATTTGTAAAGTAATAAGCAGAAGCACAATGACGGCAAGGCGCAGCAGCGCAACGGGGGGAAGGGCAAATCTGCCTGTCGCCTTAAAAAGGATTTTTAAAAGAGTCTTGATTAGAAAGTATAATGAGACTGAGAGCCACGCTGCACACTATCTCTCCAGAGGCTGATGGAAAACAAATGAATGTAGCTATTTTGTTTTAATTACTATTTTTCCACATTAGTCTGCTGTGGCGCATCCCGAGGACTTGTCATCATTGTCCACCAGAGCCCATGCAGCCAGAGTTATTGATTTTCTTTAGACATATCAAGGGAATGCAGAGAGTAATCTCTTTTTTCCTGCAAAAACAAGAGCCATCCATGCAACACAAAAAAAGGAAGAAGACAAAAGGATCATTTTATTATGTAGGCCTATCATTCTTGCTCCAAACATTTTGACCTCACATTTTATGAAATGTAATTTGATCAAACAGGCACAAACCAACTAACACTACAAATATCACATAATTTATCAAATTCATTGACAATATCGCTGATGATGTTGTCACTTCATGGAGGATGATGATATTGGTTAACACAAGACTTTGTTACTTAAAGGAATAGTTCACCCAAAAATGAAACTTTGCTGAAAATGTCCTCACGCTCAGGCCATCCCAGTATGTAGATGAGTTTGTTTCTTCATCAGAACAAATTTAGGGAAATGTAGCATTGCAACACTTGCTCAGCAATGGATCCTCTGCAGTGAATGGGTGCCGTCAGAATGAGAGTCCAAACAACTGATAAAAACATCACAATAATCCACACCACTCCAGTCCGTCAGTTAACATCTTGTGAAGTGAAAAGCTGCATGTTTGTAAGAAACAAATCCATCATTAAGGCCAAAATATGAGTCCATAATCCATAATAACGCTTCCTTAAAGGAATAGTTCCAATAGTTCTAGGAATTAAGATGTAACAGGAAAAACCTATAAATGATCACTTTAAAACAATATTCCTAAGAAATCATGTTTTGTTGGAATAAATTGGATAGGAGAAAGAAATAAAGGAATAGAAAGTCTAGTACTGTATATTCTGGAAACATTACAGGAATGACCCATACACAGTCTTCTTAAACACAGTGACCAAAGATTTAAAGGGGTCATATGATGCAATTTAAAGTACAGTATGTGGAAAATAATGTGTTTTTTGAACCTTAATACACATAAACACATTTCATTACACCAAATACACAACATAATGTTCTTTTTAGCAGCATCACATGACCCCTTTAAACAGTTAATTTCATTTGTTAAACTTTGACCTAAAAAAGGCTAAGCTAAGTAACCCACAATCACACTGTTTGGTTGCTATTGTGCTATTAACCTGCACTTAATTAAAGACAGAGTAATTGTGGCTTTGTATCTCTGGTAAATGTTCTCTTAAATAGAGTAATTGCTCTTTTATTGCAGATGAATCTGACAGCGGCAGGAATTAATTACTGTCAGATTGTACAGTGCGTATCATTTAGATGGGTGACTATTCAGTTGCTTGCTGACATGGAAAATGTATTCAAATATTCAAACGATTCATCTCTCAGTGGTGGTTTTGTATGTGTATTTATAAATTAAAAATACCCTTTTATGTCACTGCACAATTTACATATGCATATTAATAATTCATGCATTTGAAAACGAACAAAAAAAACGAACATTTTGATTGGGAATCAAAGAGGGATGAGCATTAAAAGAAAAAAGAGCATTTGAGTTTGATGGATAAAATCATTACTCATTTATATTACCCAAAACAATGTGTGAAACACATAGAAATAGATTCTGATCTTGTAATATTTTCAGAAATGAGATGTCGGGTTCAGTGACCTCTCGGACAAGCCTAATAACTGTGTCTAATTGTACTAATCTGTACTGTAACATCTAAATTATTCAAGTTAAAAATATTTTTCAACATCACTGAATCAACCTAAATACATTCAATTCATTTTTATGGGTTAAATCAGGTAGAAACAGCTTTTATTAAGGTAACAATTGCAGGTTGCCAATTTTTACAGTGTATTATGTGAGAGGAAAAAGCTTGAGACATGAATCTAGAAATGAAAACATTGGATTGGATTTCACTTGGCTGCTATATAATAAAAATAAAGCAAGTAATAATAAATAAATAACAAATGACCTTTGACCTAGGCACAGAGTGACCACTGGTGGATGATATTTAACCAAGATGCATGCAGTGATATTTCTAGATATATCATCCAGGACAGAATCCATTTTGGAAACCAGTATTTGGTTTCATTTTGCCATGAACAACTAAGCCAGCTAACAAAAAAATCTTCTAAGAACATTTTTTTAATGTTCCCATTAAGTTTTGAAAATATTATTTCTGAATGCTGTTCTATATTTGAATGTTCACAACTTCCAGTTTTTTTTTAATATTTAGAAAATGTTTTTAAATGGAACGTTCTATTTTGCAAACATAAAGGGATGTTACTTTTGAATGTTCTCTGAACATTCTGAAACAAGCAGTAAGATTAAAAAAAAAAAACATTAGATGAAA